GGTTGCTGCTGACATATTTACCAGATTTAGTAAATTTAGTAATTCATCAAAACTTAATTTGAGGAATAGTTTTATTTTTTAATTTTTTAAGTCCTCACTCAAGGATATCTTTTATTGATATTTTTAAGAGAGAGAGAGAGAAACATCTGTTGGTTCCCCCCTGTATGCTCCCCAACAGGGATTCCAACCTGCAACCTAGGGGTGTGCCCTGACCTGACATTGAACCTACAATCTTTCGGTGTATGGGACCATGTTCCAACCAACTGAGCCACCCGGCCAGGGCTGAATTTATTCATTAATTTTCTAGTGAACATTACAAAAATGTCAGCATTTTAGATTTTAAAAAGAATTCACTTTATATATATTCATATCAAATACTTTTGAATGTATTTCATTTTTATAAAATTTAGCCCAGGTGGTGTGGCTCAGTGGTTGAGCATCGACCCATACACCAAGAGGTCACCAATTGGATTCCTGGTCAGAGCACATGCCCAGGTTGTGGGCTCAATCCCCAGTGGGGGGCGTGCAGGAGGCAGCCAATCGATGTTCCTCTCATCAATGTTTCTATCTCTCTCTCCCTTCCTTTCTTTCTAAAATCAATAAAGAAATAATGATTATAATAATAAATTTTAGCATTTAAAGTCTTGCTAACTTCTCTGTAGAATCAATTTATGAAATTCAACCAAAACATATTTTTAACTATTTAAAATGTTTATTTCAATTTTTATTCAAAGCACTTTTGAAATTGTCAGTGGCTTGTAATTGCCTAGTTTCCACTGTGTGTTTGTAAATGCAGTTGCTATAAAGCTTCATGGCTCTTGGGGCTATTTACTAGCAGAAAGGTGGAGTAGAGCCCAGGAGAGCAAGGGAACAGGGGCGGGGCAGCAGGAGGCCAGACACCAGCCTGTTGGGATTCACAGCCCTAGTGCACTTCCAAACCATCAACTATGGTTTAACGTATGTTTAACAAACTTTGGAAATACAAAAAAGAGAAAGGAGTTTGGGGTACATTAATACTTTTAGTAAATTTAGCAAACTGGTCATTGGCAAATTGGTTCCTTAGTAAACTGATTCTTGGTGGGTTGAGGTCCTCCAATTCATTGGATCCCTTTTCTGTCACATAAAGGAACCTACAGCCCTTTGCAAAGTCCCCTCCATGCAGCTTCCTAGCGGTGTGTGAACGGGAAAGCACAGGGCTCTCCTCTGCTTAAAGCGCCTGTTTTCTCCTGTCACACTGCGGGGAACAACCAGGTCACTTTCAGTGCTGCTGTGATCAAACCTGGCAAGGCCAGTGCACCTGAATCCCACCCTCTAGGCATATCAAACTGCATGAGGTGAGTGCCCCCAAACCAAGTCTTGTCAGACCTGTCTGTCTGCACCCTGTTTATGCCTGAAGGGCCCTTCATCAGGGAGCCATCACCTCCTCTGAGAAGCGGACCCACCGGGAAAGCCTGGCTCAGTCCCGACACAACCTCCACACCATCGACTCCCCGTCCTCCCCATCTTGAAAAATTGTTCTTCTTGAATCAGTCCACAAATAATAATCACCTCTAGTCCTATGTTGCCAACCATTTCCAAGAGACAAGGAAATAACTGAACCAACGGTCCCATTGTCACTTTATAGTTCTGTGTCCTGAGCCTCCCACGCCCTCAGTCGCGTGGGTGCCGGTCCCCTTCGTGGCTATTGCAGTTTTGTCTCTTGTTTTCCCCATGTACCCCCCCCCATGAGTGAACTCCTGGAAGGCAGGGCCCTTGTATTTTCATCTTTGCAGCTCAGGACCTTACTATGTAGGGGTACGAAAAATACTGTGATGGTCCCCACCATCTGGGTTTGGGGGAGGGGGACAGAACTACAGGGAACAAGACTGCACAGAAGTGTCAGAGCTGAGTGCAGGGGACCCTGCCCATGGGGTGGGAATGCGGGGCTTTTAGACTTTGGCAGCAGCCATAAGGGGAGCGGCCAGGCCTCGTCCTCAAAATGCAATGGAGGCGGGAGAACCCTGTGTCGTCATAGCCCACGTGGCTCATGAAGCTGCTCTCACCCTGTTCTGCTCACCAGTTCGTGTTATGACTCTGTGTTTTGCATTCAGGTTTCCACATCGCTGAGCCCACTGCAGGGAGGACCGGGTGCTGAGATCTGAAGTTACCATGAAAGGGCAGCTCTGTGCGGGGTAGCGGTGGCACGTCAGAGGGAGAAGGGGGGGAGTCAGGGTCAGACACAGGTAATGCGCTCTCCCTGCTCTCTGTCCACAGTGATGCATAAGAGGGAGGGTTCAGACTCATCGTAATTCCACCACATGCACAGAGATGAGGAGCAACGAGACTTTGCTGTCTTGGTTAGTGACCTCTGCAAGGACGAACTCACCACAGTACATTCAAAGGAATGCGCACGTGCTCAGCGCCGCCCCTAGGGGACTGTGACACATCAGCCTGCCTTCAGGACAGGGTCCTGTGCGGTGCTCCTTCCCACAGATGAGGCAACGCTGAGCGTTTCACAGCTGAAATGTTTCATCCGTGGTCACTCTGCTACTAATTCGACTCTTTCCTCAGATTCTCTGAAATGTGCTTTTAGTGAGGCAAGGTTCTGTAGAGAAAGGACCTATGTCACTGTGTCGTGGAAAATGAATATACGTTACCTAAGGGTTCTCATGGGTACATATGTGAGTAGCTTTGTAAAGATTTAGAAAATTTTAGGAATACATGCTTGATAAATTTTTATTAAAAGAAAATACTATTTTGGAACAGTATTTCTAATTATATTACTGCTGGCATTAAGGAGCCCACAGAACCCTTAAACTGAAGTTTCTTGATGCCGGAAGTGAATGCAGAATGGGGCCCCAGATGGTGCTTCTGGCGATGAGATGATTATGTTCACAGTTAACCCCACTGACCAGCACAGGTTCCAAGGGGTGCTGAGCAGGGAAAACAATGTCTCCCTGAACTTCCAAGTCCACAACTTTAATATTCCACCCCGAGGGAACAGAGAATGTCCCTACGGAGTCTCCCTACTGTAACCCTGACTCATTTAAAGACTTTTTTTTTTTTTTAATCCCATTGTCTACCCACGTGGGCACACTACCTTCATCCTGAGTGCCCTGTCCCCACAGGGGCCCTGCCCGGTGATTCAGGTGAGGTGCCCAGAATCATGATGTTTGTGGGCGTGGCCTTCCTCCCAGGCCCGGCCAGCTGTGGCTGCCCTGAGCGGTGCGTCCAGGACAGGGACAGTGCAGAGAACTCTAGACAAAGTAGAAAATGCTTACTGGGTGAGGGGAAGCTGCTGGCAGCAGGCCAAACCAGAGCCTAGCAGATGAGATTTTAGCCAATCAGAAAGAGCAGTCTAAGCTGCCACTTTTGTTGCTAAGTAGAGACATCTGTGTGAAGAGAGAGGCCTGCCAGTGGGGGAAATCCCCAGGCCTGAAGCAGCCTCCTCTGCAAAGCGCAGAGCAGGCCTGACCACACAGCCCAGGGCAGGACAGACTGCACAGTCCAGAGCAGAACTCATGGAATTTCCCCCCTTAGGACAGGGGCAGGGATAGGCCAGAGGCCTCTGTTTTCTCTGAGGGACCCTGAGGTGGGGGTTGAGGGAACTGAGGAGCCTTCAAGTTCCCTCTCTGACTACTCTTCCTCATCTCCCAACCCTATTCCAGGTCTGAGTTGGATGTTCGTCCTTTATGCTTCTACCCCTACTCTGGAGTTACCCTGCCCCTGCCCCCCACCGCTGGAGGAAGCCAGGGTGCTCTCCAGGTCAGGTGCTGGGGAGGGCTGCAGCCCACAGAGAGCTCTGGAACAGCTCACTGCTCCATGTGCCGCAGAGGACCTTGTCCTTGACTCTTCCCTCTGCTTTTCACCTGGTTCACTCCTATGTTCTGCTTTAGGGCTTGTCCTCAAATTTAAAAGGACAACCTAAAGTCAGGGAAGACAGAGAGAGATTTATTATCTTGTTTATTAATGTTTGCCAGGCTTTGTGTTAATTGCTCTGTAACCATTTAGTTCCACCCCTAGTCATGGGCAAGAGGAGCCGGATAAATAACACATTTACTGGAACCCATCGCAGCTCTGCCACGTGGGTTTGGTGCTCAGGGGCTGCCCAGGGCGAGCTGTGGCTCTGGACATCTGCTCCTTCAGCCACACCGTCCAGGCCCAGGGAATGCTTCTCTGCATCTTTGCTCTCTGTCCTGGACACCAAAGGAGACAGTGTCAGACTGTTGTGAATGCTTGTGAGCTGTGCCTTTGCTGACAGCAGATGGACCTGTTTCATGCTTCAGGGAGAACTGAGGCAGCTGAAAGCCAGTAAGAGAAAAGTCAGCTTTTCAAATACTTTCTTTCAGAGAACATGAATACAACAGGTTCTTGCATAATGAAGAATCTCGTACTGGCAGGGTCGGGTGCAGAATTCTTTGCTTGTTTCTTGCTCCACATATGAACTAGTTATTCCCAATAGTTACACATGGCAGCAGAGGAGCATTCTGCAATATTAAAGGTCTTATTACTCTTAAGCTTGTATATACAGAGATCTGGATGTAACGTGCATGAAACATGATCCACATTTTTCAAAAAAAAAAAGAGGTTGAGTAATTGTTGATCGTCTTAAAACACATTGTGAGTACAGCTACAGCTCAAAATCATTTCCTCCCCAGCTCTGCTCTTCCCACCACAACTTAAGGGTCCTTGGAGTGTCTACTAAAATAGAAAGAAACATCTCCGTGACAGTAATTTTCTCTCCCCTGATACACGATACATACTTATTTCCCCTACTAAACGTCCCAAGTATAAGAACAATAGGTTTTAACCAGATTTCGCAAAGATGTCTACTCTTGAATCATTGTTTTGTCTTTTAGTTCCTTAAACCCGTAAGGCATTCAATCTGCAGATCTTCTACAACTGAGAGAAAGTCTTCCAATGCTCATTCAGTGCAATTTGATGAAGACACAGTGCTGGGCGGTGGATAAAGAACCTTCACAAAAAACATCTGCCCAGAGACAGATGAGGGACCTCAGCTCCAGTGCTGATTGGTTCCTTTCCTAGGGACTCTCCGACCCTACCCTGCGTGGAAGCTTCCTCAGGTTTTTATTCTCTGAAGTGGCTACATCGGAGTCATCAGGTGGAGCTGGGTTCACTGCCATTTCTTCTTCCTTTGTTCTCGATTATGTCTGGGGAGCCGGCTCTGCGGACCCCGGGAGGCCTGTGGACAGCAGCTGCGATGGTGGCGCTGGTGGTGCTCGGTGCCCCAGTGGCTGAGGGCACAGACTCTCCAAGTGAGTACAGGGCAGCTGCTCCCCAGAGCCACCAGCCTGGGGAACCGGCTCTGAGGGACCCTGGGACTGGGCGTGGGGTGACTATGACCTGAGAACACAGTCTTTTGTCACACATTTGCTCTCTTTGGGAAAGAGCTGTTACATTTTCACTTATGCCTTCTAATGACAAGGCGAGGACAAAAGCCATCTCACCTGCTCAAACCTGGGGCTGTCATAGGGGAGGGAGGGGACAGTGTGCACCTGTTAGGGACAGGGAACGGGGTTACTTCTGAAGACAAGACTTCCTCTCAAGAGCAGCAGGATGCCTCCTTCCAGGGTCACCCGGACCCGTGTGGACTACACCCCAAGGGGCTCTGAGGCGGGAATGTGGGGCAGTCGTGGCCGCGGGTGTCAGGCTGGAGGAGAGGACTCGGCGTCCCTGAGCCTGGGTGGGTCTGAGAGAAGCTGGCTGCTGACCAGACACCAGGCTACTCCAGTGTCACTATTTACGGTCAAATAGAAGCTGGGTGGGTTTGGTCCTGAGTTGATGGTGGGCTGAATTTAGGAGAAAGGGGAATAACATACTGGGAAACCATTTATTTCAGACACAGGACTGTATCTTCATATAAATTCTGTCAATCTCCCTGCACCCCGTGTGTAGGTCTCATGGTCTTTTTACACAATCGCACGTCTGCTGTGGATGCTCTGAGCATCCTGTCCCAGCCGGTAACGGGCACCGCGTAACTGGAATCTGATTCGTTTACTCCGAAAGCCTGTGCTTCCCACGAACAGCATCCCTTCTGGGGGGGGCGGTGTGGGTCCCCCGGCCCCCCGCGGGCACAGGCCTCAGGTGGAGCAGGCGCAGTGCTGCCCTCGCGCCTCCTGCTGCCCTCGCGCTGCCCGGCGCCCCTGTGTGGACACTCGTGTCGGAGGTCCCGGGGGTCCGTGGAAAGTGGGTTTCACGTGAGGCCGTCTGGGTGGCTCTCAGGACGGGGTGGATGTGAAGTCACAGGACTGCGGTCCTTGAGCGTGGTCAGGCTCAGGCAGGGTCCCAGGTCCAGGGACACTTCCTCCCTCCCCGAGGCAGCTCCGGGAGCCCGGCCGGGGTCCTGGGTCGAGCGGGAGGCCGGTTGGGAGGAACCTGGGCCAGGCCGGTCCGCGCGGGGCTGTGCGGCTGGGCCTGACCGGGCGCCGTCCCGCAGAGGACATCGTGCTCCAGTTCAAGGGCCAGTGCTACTACACCAACGGGACGCAGCGCATGCGGGCTGTGGTCAGATACATCTACAACCGGGAGGAGTACGTGCGCTTCGACAGCGACGTGGGCAAGTACCTCGCGGTGACCGAGCACGGGCGGCCGTTCGCCGAGTACTGGAACGGGCAGAAGGACGTCCTGGAGCAGACGCGGGCCGAGGCGGACACGGTGTGCAGACACAACTACCCGATGGATGAAGCCAGGACCCTGCACCAGCGAGGTGAGCGCCGCCGGCCCACCCGGGGCGGGGAATCTCCGTGCCGGGAGGGCGGCCTCTGGGACAGGAGCCCCGGCCCAAGGTGGGGACCTGGAGCGGGTGTGTCCGGGGGTGGAAGGCGGGGACCGGGGCGGGACTGAGGACAGCTGCGGGACTGACAGAGCAGCCGGCCCAGGTCCTGCCAGCCCCCAGGCCTGCCCAGTGGGCCCACCGCCTGCTCCTCCACCCACTCTGCTCCGCCCGCCTCCCGCGCGGCCGTGTTTGCTTCCTCATCCCTCCTTTGCCTGAGCTGCCCGGCGCCCCGCGTGCCCCCTGCCCCTGCCCCTGTGCGCGGTGAGCCCATCCATACCCTTCTCAGCTCACTTACATCCAGGTGGGTTCGGGGGCTCCGAGGCCACCATCAGGGCCCCGCGCGCACATGCTAACATGTCACAGTTGTGAAGTTGTTTTGGCTTTTTGGCCTCACATTATGATTCATCTCAATTCTGTTTTCCTCAATGGCTATCACTAGCCCTGGAGCTCTGTGAGGCAGGGCTGTCATTTATGGGTGTGCCTGGTGCTGACCCAGTGACCAGCGCAGGGCCAGCTCACTGAACCTCTGTGATTAATGAACAAGTTCCCAGCTGCCCTGCACGGGGCTCAATAGAAAACAGAAGGGTAAGTAGGGCCCTTTAAACGGACTATTATCTTGTTCTATTTTGCTTAATGCATTAAAGTAAACTCTTCTTGACTTGGATCTTAATTCAGAATTTGTGATTGCAAAGTCTGAGGAAATAAGTTCACTAAAAGCAAAAAGCAGCACTTCAATGCTATTGTAAGGTAGAACTTTAGTTTCCTAGAAAAGCACAATAAATGGCATAATAGAACTGAAGGTTTGAAGTAAATAAATTGATGCTATTAAATTATTGAATAAAAATAGTTTCAGGTTTCTTTTCACCCAGACCCTGCCTGGCTGCCTCCCTCACCCCAGAATCACCATTAACTTCAGTGGTAGATATTTTGAGTGTTAATTATAGCCATTTAATGAGCATCTATTTCTTAACAGTTATTTTACTAAGCACCCTCTATGTTATGCTATTTAATCACCGATACTACTGTGTTAGGAATTAGCATGACAACTTTAATGTATTAATAGTTGGTACAGAATAAACACTTTACGTAATTAGGCCACAGCCTCCCCACATGCACAGCAGTCACTGTGTTCTGTAGCACATGTGTATACTACATGCATCTGATGGAAGCACAGCCTCATTAAAGCCAGCTGTGACCAGACGCAGCAAATGAGTAGGCTCCTGCCTATTTTTAGTGTTGGTGGGACAAAAATGATACTTTCAGGAGGTTGACAGTTCACTGAATCCTAGTCTATCTATATGTGTTCAGATAACTCTCTTGCCTCTGAGCCACATCCTAGTGACACTAAGAACTTATATTTTTTGCTATTCCATAAAAAATTATTCTAACATTTTTCTCTTGAACTTGTGCCCTCTATTTTTATTCCCAATCTGTGTAAACTGACAGATTTTATCAGTCCATCTAATCATGGCCATAATTTTAGCCCGTCTGCAGGACGGAGAACCTGACAAATGTTAAAGTCTAAGCTGAAAACATGGTTCCCCAGGTGATGGCTCACGGTGCCATATAATGGGGGCACTGAGACTCCCGCTGACCTCAGCAAGTCCCACTGACCTACCTGTTCACTCTGTGTTCTCGTTAACCCAGGCCCACCTCCGCAAGAATCTCAGGATGTTTTCTACAGAGAACGTACATAGAAATAATATCTGAGTTAGAACAAGAAAGTAATTCTTAATAGTAAGGAAATGGAGAAGGGTAAGCTGCTAGTAATTCTTTTTTTAAAATTTTTTTTCCTTTATTGATTAGAGAGAGAGAGGAAGGGAGAGGGAGAGAGAGATAGACACATCGATTGGCCACCTCCTGGAGGCCCCCAGTGGGGATCGGGCCCACAACCTGGGCATGTGTCCTGACCAGGAATCAAATTGGCAACCTCTTGGTACATGGGTTGACGCTCAACCACTGAGCCACATCGGCTGGACGGCTGCTAGTAATTCAACTCACTTGAATGTTAACAGAAAATTAGGGAAGAAAGAAAATAAGTAAACATAACATATTATCAAAAAGATCAAACACACATGGCCCTGGCCAGTGTGGCTCAGTTGGTTGGGCATTATCCCATGCACTGAAAGGTCGCAGGTTTGATTCCTGGTCAGGGCACATACCCAGATTGTGGGTTTGATGATCCCTGTTTGGGGTGTGTATGGGAGGCAACTGATCGATGTTTCTCTCTCTCTCTCTCCCTCTTCTTTCCTCTCTCTCTAAAAAAAAAAAAAAAATCAGTGAAAACATATTTAAACACACATACACACACACACAAACTATTTAGTATAGTTTCACACTATGGGGATAAACAAGATACAATAAAAAGGCTGGAGAGGTAAAGGGTAAGATGTGTAAAGAGATAAGGAGAGGTGTGTTGTATTTGACCACGAGTGGCAATCTGAGAAGATAAAGGAATTGAGAAATGGGCAAATGTGATGTTTATCACTGTTACTTGTTTTCAGAGTTCTCTTTCTTTTCCTTCAAAAATTACAAACTTTTGAAATAACATTTTTTGTCTCTTACTAGATTGCAAGTTTTATAAGGGTAGGGACCCCAGTCTGTTGTTTATCTTCCTATTCCCAGTGCTTGTTAAATTTATATTTGTTGAGTGAATGAATGAATGAATGAATGAATAAATGCATCAGTAATGAATAAAACATAGGTGGCATATGTGATGTGGACACAAAGTTTATTATTATTATTACTTTTTTAAAGTTCTCACCCAAGGATACTTTTTCATTTATCTTCAGATAGAATGGGAGGGAGGTGGAAAGAGAGAAAAAAACATTGATGTGAGAGAGACACACACACTGGCTGCCTCCCTCATGACCCTGCCCAGGGCCAGGGACAGAACTGTAGCTGAGGCACATGCCTTGACCAGAATTGAACCTGCGACTCTTTGGTCCACGGGGCCAATGCTCTAACCGCTGAGGCAAATTGCCAGGGCACGTTTATTATTTAATAATATAAATTTAATGAGGAGTGTACCACAGAAAGGCATCTGAGCTGAGGTTGGGCTAAAAGCTGAGAGCTGCTTTGTGGGTGACACGTGAGAAGTGCTCCTGCTCTTCAACTCGGTCGGTATCAGCCACTGAGAATGACAGAAAACAGGCCGGGAAACACTGCTTCGGAGGAAGGACGTGGCGGTCACTGCTGTCCTACTTTGTTGGACACAGAAATGTGTGTACGTTCTTAATTCTCAGTCCACGTTACTGTTCACGGAGCCTCTTCCAGTGTTGATGGTCTCATGACCAGCAGGGGACTCACACTGATGTATTTTCTCTCCTGTTAGGAGCAGGGGAACCAAAAGAAAACAGTGTCACTGCCCTAGTGTGAGTCACCAGAGCTGATCCTGATGGTCGCCCGCAATAGGTGTGGAGGAAAAGAAGTCTAGGTTTATTATCTTTATTTTTATATATTTTGCGAATAGTGGCCTATATAATATAGCAATTTAAAATATTCAAGTGCTGCCCTGGCTGGTGTGGCTCAGTGGTTAGAGTGTCAGCCCTCAGACCAAGGGGCTGCAGGTTTGATTCCCAGTCAAGGGCACCTACCTGGGTTGCAGGTTTGATCCTCGGCCCCAAGTCAGGGTCATGCAGGAGGCAGCCAACTGATGTGTTTCTCTTACATGGATGTTTCTCTCTCTCTCTTTCTCTCTCTCTCTCCCTTTCTTCCTTCCACTCTATCCTAAAAAAAAAAAAAAAAAAAATCATTGGAAAAATGTCCTCGGGTAAGGATTAACAACAAAAACAACCTATGAAAGTGCTTCATTTTTATCAATTGGTATCCACAGAATAACTCCCATAAAATGATTACTATTAACTCTTGAGAGTGAAATGCAAACTGACTGTTTATCAAGCTAATAGGGTGGCCCAGCTCGGGTCCTTACCCCGGACTTGGAATCTAGGGATCTTTCCGCTCTGTACAAGGAGGACTCTCCCCGTGGATAGACTTGGCCTCACATCTCACATTATCTTTTCCTGTCTCTGACTCCCCCAGTGGAACCCACAGTGACCATCTCCCCAGCCAAGACAGAGGCTCTAAACCACCACAACATGCTGGTCTGCTCGGTGACGGGTTTCTACCCAGGCCAGGTCCAAGTTCGGTGGTTCCGGAACAACCAGGAGGAGACAGCTGGCGTCGTGTCCACCCCCCTCATGAGGAATGGGGACTGGACCTTCCAGATCCTGGTGATGCTGGAGATGACCCCCCAGCGAGGAGACGTCTACACCTGCCACGTGGAGCACCCCAGCCTCCAGGGCCCCATCACAGTGCAGTGGCGTAAGGGGCAGTGTATTTCCTTCACCTTGGGCCCCCCAGACAGAGGGCAAGCAGCTTCCCTGGCCCCTCCCATCTCATCCCTGTCCCTGGTGTCACTGCTGAGCTGGACATCGCAGGACACTAGAGCCCCTCTTGTGCCCTGGCAGGGGCATCAGCAGGTTCCTGATCCAGACACTGGGGCGGTCCCTCCGCACACCAGGCCCGGGACCCTGAGAGCTCTGGAGGGCTGACTGTTGCAGCTGGTGCCTGGGTCTGAGGGTCAAGGCTAAGGGTGTGTCTCAGGGACAGGGGTCCACTCCCCCCTGTCACCCACCCGCAGTGTCCCCTAGGCTGGTCCCTCCCCTGGGGTGGTCAGAATGGAGAAGGGGGTCCCCCTGCACCTCCACCTCCTGCACCTCAGACTGGACTTCAGGCTTCCAGAGGGACATGGGTGTGGGGCACACGCTGACCCTGGGCTCCGCTCCCCAGGGGCACAGTCGGAGTCTGCCCAGAGCAAGATGCTGAGTGGCATCGGGGGCCTCGTGCTGGGGCTGATCTTCCTGGGCCTGGGCTTTGTCGTCCGTCACAGGAGACAGAAGGGTGAGGAACTCGGAAATGGGGAAGGTGGGCTGTGACTGAGACCCTCTGCTGAGGGAGGGCTCTGCTTCTCCGTGTAACTTGACCTCCTGACCTGGAAGGAAGGGTCTGGGCAGGTGGTGGGAGGAGACAGAAAGGCCGAGGGGCGGACTTTGGGTTTTACTGGTTGAGAGGTAGCCCTGGCACAGAAGGGACTGGTGGAGAGTGTCCCAGGACCTTTACAGTTCATCACTGCCTCACTGGCCCCTTTCTGGAAGCTGCTTTTAAGAAGGTCAGAGCACTGGCTTCCCCTCCTTCTGGTGTCAGGTTCGTGCATTTGGGCTATTGTAGCTTAGGGCAGTTAAGGCCTTGTGGCCGCTGGGTAGGAGGAAGTAAATGTCCAGTCAAGTTGCTTATCTCATTTCCCTGGGGGTGGGGCGGGCCTGGCTGCTGTGTACTGAGACCTTTCTCTGTGCACCTTCCTTTCCTAGGATCTCCGGGGCCTCCTCCTGCAGGTACTGTCTCTGCTCTGGTTGGGGGGGGAGGGTAAAAGAGGGAGGGGCACGAGGTGAGGGTACCTGGTCACAAAGGTCTCTTCATGGCCTGATCCCTGCCACGAGGTAAGGGTTAGGGGAGAAGTGCACCCAGTTTCTGTAGGAGGCTCTGGGGTTGTTATCCAGAACCAGGGCTTAACTTCGTGTGAAACTTTGAGCTAGAGCCACGTCTTGGGCGTTTGACACAGGAATGATGCCCACTTTGTGCCCCATGTTGGTGACTCCTGCCTCTGGGCATTTATAAGGGACTGAGAGACTGCTAGTGGTGGAAGGAAGGTTAGTTCCCATTAAATTTTCTAAAAACATTGAAATGCTCATATCCGCCCAAGGGATAGCAGCTGTTCCCTGACCTCTGTGTGGAATTCCATCTGTACACAGACACTGGGGGAGACGATGATATGCCCCAGACCTCAGCTCTCTGTGGTGCTGCAGGGGCCCCGAGCGAAGGGGACAGGGTATGTCCTCAGGGTGCGGGTGCTGATCACTATCTCTCCTACAGGGCTCCTGCGCTGACTCATCAGGGTCCTTTGACGGATTGGCTGTGTTTCCTCTGAAATGCCTGCTGGTCCTTGCCCAGAATTCCCAGCTGCCTGTCATCCCATCCCCCTCTGAGTTCAGAGTCCTGCAGTGACTGATGCAGTTTTCTGGTCAACTCCTGTGAGCCCCACCCAGAGGATCTGTGACCCTGGAGTATGTACCTGTGGGCTGCCAGCTGAGTTTACTCAAAGCCCTGAAGCATGTTTTCTTTTGTGTCTGTCCACCCTCCACCAGACTGCTCAAGAGACGCACGTTAAAGCCTTTGCCTGACTGTAGAGCTTTTATCACAATTAAACATGTGTGTTGTCTGGACCCTGAGCCTTCTTTTAAAAAAAATTTTTTTTTCCTTTATTGGTTTTTAGAGAGAGAGGAAGGGAGAGGGAGAGAGAGATAGAAACACCGATGAGAGAGAACATCGATTGGCCACCTTCTGCATGCCCCCACTGGGGATGGGCCCACAACCTGGTCATGTGCCCTGACCAGGAATCGAACCGGTGACCTCTTGGTGCATGGGTCGACGCTCAACCACTGAGCCACACCAGCCAGGCTATCCTGAGTGTTATTAACTGGGTAGAGGCAGGAAACCACTGCAGAGTGAAAGGGACAATTTTGTTCCCAGAGGAAGACAAGGGGCACCTTGAGGTGCCATGTTAAAAGTGGGCAGAGGGGACAGAAAAATCAATTCAATCATCTTCCTTCCTGGCTCTTAGTTTTGATGTTCAGGGGAGTGGCCTTAGGATGTGCTGGCCTCTCTTCTAGTCTGGTGAGTAGAGTGTATGTCAGCATAGTGGAATTATCTGAGCCTAGATAGAGTGGCCCTGGTGTCACAAAGAACCAAGCTGATGCTTCCAGTGTGTTTTGGCAAGTCACATTGATTAAGTCAATTTTTATTTTTGGAAATGTATAACCACCAATAAAAGTAATATTCTTGGTTCCAAATGCTTGAAACCCAGCTGAAGTTTAGTTTGTTTATGTTACAAGGAAGCCTGTGGTCAAGTTTATTTCAGAAGAGACTAGCTTTAGGTATTCAACTATGTCTTTGTCTCTCCTCTTTCTGTTACAACCCTCTCTGTGCCCTTTCTCTCTTTTTCTGTTTCTTTCTTTCTGTATATTTTTTTCAGTGTGTCTCTGCATCTTTTTATGTCTGTCTGCCTCCCTATGTTTCTCGCTCTTTCATTGCATCTCTGTCTCTATTTCTTTCTAGCTGTACCTTTGTCACTATTTACTGCACCTCTTGACCTCTCTGTATTTCTTTCTGCATCTCTCTATTTCATACATCTCTCTTACCACCTCACAACTTATCTTTGTTTCTATGTTCGTATCTGTCTGTCTCTGTCGTGTGTTTCTAGAATGTCTACCAAAGTTTGAACAATTTCAGGAAAGATTCTGATTGACCACAGCTGAGTAACAAGCACAGCTCTCAAAAACATCATCATGTACACGGGATGCAGACAGCCAGCCTTACATTCACCCCCTTAGAAGGAACATGGACTGGACCGTCTAGATCTTGGTGATGCTGTAACATCTCCCCACTATGAAGGTGTCTACACCCACCCTATGGAGCACCCTAGCCTCCAACCCCCCACAGTGAAGTGGAATAAGGGACAGTTTGTTTCTGTGCACTGCACGAGATAAATGGCAGTTTCCTCTGCTTCTAGGGTGCATTGGTGGTGCTGACTCACACTCATCCCACCCTTTGTCTCTTTGCAGTCGCCTGGTGGCACTGCTGAGCCAGAATTCTCAGGATAGAGTTCTTGTTGGTGGATACAGTGACCTGTTGATTCCTGTTGACATTCTCTTCCCAGGTGTGAAAGAGGTCACTGCACACTGAGGCTCCCTCGACAAGAGTCCAGCACTGAGAGCTAGTCTCCATCTCAGTGTCTGGTTTGTTATTCAAACAGGTGGCCGGGAGCTTGTCTCTGAGGTAATGGAAGGCCACGCCACTGAGGAGCAGGCATCCCTCTCCTTGCTCCCTCACCCACTCATTGGGCCTGACAAACCGATGGCAGCTCCTTCATTCTCCTGGACTAAGTCAGAATGGAGAACTAGGCTTTCTTGGGGGCAGTGTCTTCTGTGCCCTAGCTGTATTTCAGGTAACCAGACATGGCACTGTGAATGTGTGGACAAATACCGACACTCAGGGGGATTCAGCTCCCCAAGGTCATAGTCTGAATCTGCCCGGAACAGGATGCTGAGTGGTGAGAGGTTTTGTGCCGGTATTTTCATCTTCCTCAGGGTGGACAGTGTCATTCACCATAGGAATTAAGAAAGAGTGACAGGGAAATGGGGGGACTTATGCTGGGTGTCCAGGAAGCCCTTGCTGTCCATATGCAGCTCTTTGCTTCTGAACCTGCAAAAACAGGAGGCAGGGCTGGATACTGAACCAGACCCCGACTTTAGGGAGAGATTGAGATCTGACTTTTCTAGTTGAAACATAAGCCCTCTTATAAGGATAAATGGTAGAGTATATTCTGGGACATTCTTTTTTCTTTTAAACTTATCTTTATTGTTGACTGTATTACAGATGTCCCTCCTTTATTCCACCCTTGACTCCCTCCTCCCCACTCCCACCCCCTTTTTGCCTTCCCCACAATATTGTCTCTTTCTATTGGTATGCATATATGCATAGAAGTTCTTCCTGCCCCACCTCCGCCCTTCCCCTTGAGGTTTGTCAGTCTAACAACCAATTTGTCCTCCTTAATCCCTTCATCTTTTCACCCATCCCCTCATCCCCCCTCACATCTGGCAACCAACAAAAAGTTCTCCGTATCTATGAGTCTGTTTCTGTTCTGTTGCTCATTTTGTTTGTAGATTCAATTGTTGATAGATATGTATTTATTGCCATTTTATTGTTCATATTTTTTTGTCCTCTGCTTCTCCAAGAAGACCCTTCAACATTTCATATAATACTGGTTTGGTGGCAATAAACTCCTTTAGCTTTTTCTTGTCTGGGAAACTCTTTATATGTCCATCAATTCTAAATGATGGCTTTGCAGGATAGAGTAATCTTGGTTGTGGGTCCTTGCTTTTCATCATTTTAAATATTTCTTGCTGCTCCCTTCTAGCCTGCAAAGTTTCTTTTGAGAAATCGGCTGACAGTCTTATGGAAACTCTGTTATAAGTAACTGCTTTCCTCTTCCTGCTTTTAAGATTCTCTCTTTGCCATTAACCTTTTGCATTTTGATGATGTGTCTTGGTGTGGACATCTTTGAGTTCAACTTGTTTGGGACTCTTTGTGCTTCCTGGATTTGTATGTCTGTTTCCTTCACCAAATTAGGGAAGATTTCTGTCATTTTTTGAAGTATTTTTAATGTCTTGTTCTCTCTCTTCTCCTTCCAGCACTCCCATGATGTGAATGTTGGTATGTGTGAAGTTGTCCCAGAGGCTCCTTATACTATCCTCATTTTTTGATTCTTTTTTCTCTTTGCTGTTATGATTGGGTGTTTTTTTGCTTCTTTATATTTCAAATTGATAGTTTGCTTCTTGGCTTCACCTACTCTACTATTGATTCTCTGTAAATTATTCTTTATTTCAGTAAGTGCATCCTTCATTTCTGACTGGTCCTTTATTATGCTCTTGAGGTCCTCACTAAGTTCACTGAGTGTCCTTATAAGCAGTGTTTTGAACTCTGCATCTGTTAGATTGCTTATCTCCATTTTGTTTCATTCTTTTCCTGGAGTTTTGTTCTGTTCTTTCATTTTGGACCTGTTTCTTTGTCTCCTCATTTTGGCTGCCTCCTTGTGTTTGTTTGTATGTATTAGATAGAGTTGCTATGTCTCCTAGGCTTCCTAGGGTGGCCTATTATAGTAGGTGTTCTATAGGGTCCAGTGGCACAGCCTCCTGATCACCCTGCTGGGCTCTCGAGGTACACCCCTTGTGTGGACTTCACACCCTTCTGTTGTAATTGAGTCTTGATTGCTGTTGGCACATCAATGGAGGTTTGATTCAGGCTGATCAGCTGCAAGGACTGGTTGTGTCCACTATCCACCGACCTCTGATTACCTAGGATGATCAGCTGTGCAGGGGCCCACCACACATAGCATGACATACTTCAGCAAGGTTCTGGTACCCGCTGAGTCCATTCCTTCAGTGTGTCACTTATGGATGTGGTTGGATGGTGGTGCTTCGATGTGGTCTGAAGTTGTCCACTGGGTGTGCTGGCTCTGGGGCAAGGTCAACCACTGCCTGTGTTCTACCTGGGGCCACCAGGTATAGGCTACAAAGTGATTTGACAATGTCTGCTTCTTGTGCTGGGCTTGGAGGTGTCCAGGCAAAGCCAAGCTGTGAACCAAGGCTGGCTGCTGCTAGTGCCCAGCCTGGGGCCACTTAGTGAGATGTGTGGGGCTCCCTGTGGCCAGGTGCTGCTTTCTTGAGATAATTTAGAAAAATCTGAAGCAGGATACAAAACAGGTCAATGCTATGGTTGAGTCTGAGTGTGGACCCTTTAGGAGGAGCTGCCTGGGGTTCCAGAAGCCTCAGCCTCCTTCACCCTCAGTTTCTGCTGATTTTTACAGCCAGAAGTTATGGCAACTTCTCTTCCTGGAACTGGAACCCTGAGCTGGGTGCCTGGTGTGGGACAGGGACCCCTCACTCTTCGGGGATGACCTTCCCAGCTGAGGTGTCCTCCTGATTTTTATCTGCCGCACATGGGTGTGGGACCAGCCCGTCTGTGCCTCCGCCCCTCCTACCAGACTCAATGCTGCTGCTTCTTTAATTCCGTAGTTGTAGGACTTCCATTCAGTTTGATGTCAGGAGGTTCTGAAGGATGTTTGTTCTGTAGTTTAGTTGTAATTTTGATGTGGTGGTGGAAGTAGGTGAGTACTGTGTTTATTTACACTGCTATCTTGACAGGAAGTCAATCTATTCTGGGACCTTTTTTTTTTTTTAATCCTAACCTGAGGACATTTTCACACTTATCATCAGATAGATCAGGATGGGGAAAGGGATCAAGAGAAAGAAAAACATCAATGCAAGAGAGACACATGGATTGGTAGCCTCCTGCACAACCCCACCTGGGCCGGGGACAAACTGTCACCGAGGTATGTGCCCTTAGCGGAAACCGAACCCAGGACTCTCTGGTCCAAGGGCCCACACTCTAACCGCTGAGCCAAACTGGCCAGGGTTCTGGGACAATCTTAAAGTTCCACAGTGTCACCCTGGCCCCTTGCTGGGATTCCCTTTTAATAAAGTCAGAGTCTTCTTCCCATCCAATGACTGCTCAGTGTGGGGCTGTAAAGGTCCTGAGACTTGGCCTAATTTGGGACAATTTTGAAGGGCTCTTGAAGCTTCAGAACTCCCTCGAGATTTGGATGAGGACTTTTTTTGACTGTCCAGCTT